CTTGTTAGAACAACCTTGTAACATTCTTGTTATATCATGACTGTATCAGACTTGTTAGAACAACCTTGTAACATTCTTGTTATATCATAACTGTATCAGACTTGTTAGAACAACCTTGTAACAAGTCTGATAATGCCATCAAGCTTGTTAGCAGTTGTTAACAGCTTGTTCCAAACTTGTTGACAACTTGGGACAAGCAGTGCGAACACAACTTGTTGACGGCTTGTTGGCAGACTTGCTACAAGATGTGAGAATTTTAAGCTTGTAATATTCACCTTATTGTTGTGATGTTTGAGTATTTGAACGGCTTTAGATTCAGCTAAATCCCAAAGAACGACGGTCGAATCAGCTGACCCGCTACACAGTATATTCCTAAGAGGACAAGAATCATTATATTTCTTAGAAGAATTTGAATATCTGTGCAAAATAATCAATGAACAAAAAGATACAGTGATCAGTTGACCTTGCATTTCTGTTCCACGAGAGATCTAAAACAGCGTCTTCATGGCCAATAGAACTCTTTGACTTCTAAAACAGTAAAACAGTGTCATTCAATAGAACACTTCCAAAATCATTAATAATTCATGAGGAAAACGCAAAGAAAAATCATAAGCGTGCGTATCTTTATATGTCAGTGATAGAGATTTCCCTTGATTTACATAAACTTTAACTTTGATTTTTTCGACTAACACAACGTATTTTTTGAAAATTACTTCGCCAATGAACTTACCAGATCGATCGTTTTTGAAGCAATTTAAAATATTCGCAGTGCGTGTTTTATCAGACCTAAAGATACCCGGTTTCGCCTCGTATCTTTATATCTGATAAAACACTGCTGGTCATGTTTTATCTAGTACCTAAGACACTCGCCTGTCGCCCGGTGTTTTATTTCTGATAAAGGACTCAACATTCATAACGCGTAGGAAATAAAACGCTTTGAACAAGAAACCGTCATTCGAATCAATCGCATAATGCTGAAAATCCAATATCATGCAATGTTGGGTTAAATTTCAAATCTTTTTGATAAAATCACAAGATATCATCATATCTTGCTTAGTTCTCGAAATATTTAGAGCGAAATTAATGAGCTGTTCACCATCTTGGACTAATTCTTGACCTCATTAACTATGGTTTTGATGACGTCAGGAGTTGGGTAAACTGTATAAAACTACTCTAAAATGACCGAGTAACAATCGAAAATTGTTTGAAATGTTTTTAATCATTTCGAAATTTCAGACAGCAACCAGAAACGAAGTTTTGGACCCATATTGATCGCTTACTCTCAAGATAAAAAATAGCGTGACCCTTCTCTTGACGTAACATGCATATCCTCAATAATCCAAGATGGCGAACAGCTCAATTTTTTCAGTCGAAATATTTCGAGAACTAAGCAAGATATAAACAATCTGTAATAGAGTTTAATATATAGTTTTAAGAGTTCTTTCAAATGAACTGAACTCTTTTTTATTGCCAATGTCCTTTCACTATCAAAGAGTTCTTTCAAATGAACTATGCAAACACGCCTCGCGATATTGCAACAATGTTCAATGAATATTTCCATTCTATCTACACCAACTTTCCGGGGCAATCTTCATCACCCCGGCCTGATTCCTCACCTCCTCTATCCAGTATATCATCCATTGACCTCTCTATAGAAGAAGTATACCTAGCCTTACAGAACTTAGATCCCTTCAAGGCTCATGGTTCTGATGGTTTTCCTTCTCGTGTTTTAAAGGAATGTGCATTTCAACTTGCTCCTTCTCTACACTACCTGTTCACACAAAGTCCCTCCGCTTATCACAGATTCCCACCGAATGGAAGCTAGCCAACATCATCCCTCTACACAAGAAAGGTGTAAAAGAACACGTGGAATATTACCGACCCATTTCTTTGTTAAGCATTGTCAGCAAGACTCTTGAACGCTGTGTCCTAAACCACCTATATCTACGCATACAGGAAAGCGTTCACTCAGCACAATATGGATTCATTAGTGGAAGGTCTACCACATCTCAATTACTATCGACACTACACAAAATAGGGAAGGACTTAGATATAGGACTACAAACAAACGTTGTCTTCATGGACATTTCCAAGGCTTTCGATACCGTTGACCACTCCAAACTGTTACAAAAACTTCGCGATTTCGGTCTATCTGGCTCTCTTTTGTTGTGGTTTGAAAACTATCTATCAGGTCGCTGTCAACGAGTAACTGTTCACGGTGCGACATCTACTCCCTTACCAATAACATCCGGAGTCCCACAAGGTTCATTGCTGGCTCCCTTCCTCTTCTCGGTGTACATTAACGATTTGCCCGATAACATATCCATTTCTACTGGGGTCGGCTTGTATGCTGATGATACCAAACTGCACAGATGTGTGCAAAATCGTAACGATGCACTGGCATTGCAATCGGATATTCAAAGCCTCCATTGTTGGTCAAATGAGAACATGTTGAGCTTTAACAAATCGAAGTGTAAAGTGTTGTCTATCACGAGAAAGAAGTCTCCCTTAATTTACCCATATGCACTTGGCGATCACCAACTATTGTCTTCTGATGTAGAGTCCGATCTGGGCATTACGATCAGTTCTAAACTATTATGGAATGTTCAGATCAACAAAGTTCGGTCAAAAGCCAACAAAACGCTCGGGTTAATCCGACGTTCTACCATGGAGATAACGGATACCAACGCGAGAAGGCTTCTGTACCTTCAACTTGTGCGAAGTAACTTCTCCTATGCAACCCAAGCCTGGTGTCCTCAGTCAGTGAAACTTATTGAGGACGTTGAGAAAGTGCAGAGACGAGCAACAAAATACATATTGAATCTTGGGTTTATCACAGACATTTCTTACAAGACAAGACTCCTTCAGCTTGACATATTACCTGTCTCATATTGGCACGAATACTTGGATCTGGTGTTCCTCTACAAGATCATCAACAATCTTACGTACATTGACGAACGTGCTCAACCGATCATGGCTGGATCAGGAATTACAAGAAGTGAATCCAACGCAAACCTAATTAGATTTGTTATTCCTTATGCGAAAACCGTAACATTCCAGACCTCATTTTTTATAAGAACTTGCAAAACGTGGAACATATTAGATAGTAACTTGCGTACTAGAGATATAGGTTTGCTGTCTTTTAAATCAGGTCTTAAACTCTATTACAAACATGCACTATCCAAAACATTCAAATGTGACGATCCGCGCACCTGGAAATCAGTGTGTGTAAAGTGCAAAAGAGCAAGATCGCTTAACAATGTAATAAGTTGTTGTTAGTCCTATAATCTATATTATTGAACTTGGACAGTATGGATTTCCGTTATTAGCCTTATTAGTTTTAGCTTGTTGAGTTGCTTAAAAATTTGTTTTGTACAGTAATTTTATTCTTGTTTATATGGGATCGCCGTAATTGGGGAAACCTGTGGCGAATTCCCTGGCTCTATATGTTGTATTTAAATAGTAGCCGAATCTTATTAAATTGATCTTCTGTCTTTTTGTCTCAACACGACATACTTTGTGTTTGAGGGCTGTTATTACCAACAGGTTTTTGGAACAGCAATGGGGTCACCAGTATCGGCAGTAATTGCTAATTTAGTAATGGAAGATGTCGGACAAAGAACGTTAGACTCTGTTCCGGTGTCTCTATCGTTTTGGAAACGTTTCGTCGATGATGTCATCTCTGCGGTTTCTAGAAATGAAATCGATATTCTGCTGCAACATTTTAATTCTATTGAGCCGTCCATCCAATTCACGGTAGAACGTGAGATAAATGGACATTTGGCTTTTTTAGATTTAAATGTGCACAAAACTATCGAAGGGAAGTTAGAGACTGATATGTTTATCGCAAACCCACACACACGGACAAATATTTGTCATACGATTCTCACCATCCAGTAAGCCATAAAAGAGTCGTAGCGAAAACTTTGCTTCAAAAGCCGAATCCTTGCCAGTGATTCTCAAGCTAATGAACGTGAATATGTACTAAATGTTTTAGGGGGAAACGATTACTCAAAACGTTTTCTCAATGATTGCTTGCGTTCACCTGTTTGTAGGAACCAAAATAACTCCGAGGGTGATACCTCTGCTAAGGGTTATGCAATAATTCCATATATTCAAGTTGTCACAGAACCAATCAAGAGAATCTTAAGTAATTGTAATATTAAGGTTGCTTTAAAACCCTATTTGACTTTAGGCCATATTTTGCAAAGCCAAAAGATCCTGTTAAAACAAATCAGAAAACTCATGCTGTATATTCTATACCATGCGGTGACTGCGAGAAAGAGTATTTGGGTCAGTCTAAACGCCAGTTTGGTACACGCCTAAAAGAACATCAAAAGGCTGTTTCAACTTTAAACAAGGGAAAATCAGCTTTAGCAGAACATGTGTGTGACACCAAACACGACATTGCGTGGGAAAACTCTAAAGTAATTACCACAAACAATCGCTATTGTCAAAAACTATGCCTAGAAGCGGGGCATATATATATATATGAGTAATCATGCTTTGAATAGGGATGACGGTGCCTATTTGCCAGAGGAATACATGCATCTCATTGGCAGGTGACGTCATCTCTTGGATATTTAAGAAGCCACAATTGCAACTTCAGATCACAACTGATGAAGACAGAGACTGGCGTGTCGAAACGTTGGGTCCTGATTACAATTCGACTGGGCTTTGTAATCATTTAATTTAAACCAGAGTAGCTAGCGAAACATGATATTAAAAGTAGGTTTAGCAAAACTTACGTGCATGTAGTTTGTTTGTATAGAAAAAAATATAGTTAAACTGAGAAGCTGTTTATCACGCATTTCTATATTCTAATCTCACGCTGCACCTTTAATTACTATATACTGTACTATTATACACTGTAGTCATTACGTATCTTCTGATTAGCCAATACCTTACATCAAAATAGGGAAACACGCAAGCTACACGTAACAGTGTTATCTGTAGGTAGAGCTAGCGATATGAAATTTTTTAAAGAGAGCGGCGGTTTTAAATACACGGATAAAAGCAAGAAAAGAAACAACATGAACGAGCAGCGTTTTGTGGATATTTTTTGTGCAAAAACTGGCTTTTTTAACATTTTTATCGGAACTTTTGTAGGTGTTTTGACATTTTGAAACTGATAAAGTAACGTATGTTGATATATTTTAATAATACATTATGTAAATTTTAGTCACGGGTTGTTGTTATATGTACGCGATCGACAACTTCGACGGACAAAAGATATCAGAAGAAAACTGTTCTGACTAAAATCCATGTTTTTGTACAAAAATAAAAAAACTTAAAAGAGACCGTGCATGTCATTGTCACTGAAGAGACTGTTTCTAATTAGAATCAAACGTTGTTTACTGCGACAGATTGCCATTGTTGTAATTTAATTGCTAATTGTGGTTAATTTCTTCTTACATTTACGTTACCTGAGGGTCATCATCGTCCATCTCGGTTACAATTCTAAATCTCGGACCTTTAATGAAATTATCCTGTGTAGGAGGAGGACCACTTGGTTTGAAGCGAAACAATTCATTTTCGTCTTTAAAGGCGACGCAAACAAAATGCGTATAGCCCCCAAATTCTTTTCCCGTCATCTTGTCCAAAAAGGCACTCTAGAATTGCAAATATAAATTCATTTTACTATTTTTGATGAGAATGTTAGAAAACGCATAATTTCATATCAATTATGGGCAGAAAAAACTTACGATGTCATTTTGGATGAGCGATTTTGCCCGGGCGCAATTTTCTGCTGTACCAGTAATTTCCAACTTAATCTTATCTCCACGTTGAGCTAAATTTGGTTGGAAAAACGTTATGGTGTGAATAGTTCAATTAAATAAAATGGGTAATGTAATTTTAGACAAAGTTAAGGTAAGTTAAAAGTAAGGTATAGGTAAGGTAAAGGTAAGACTTCAATTTTAACAAATATTATACTACAACACAAAAGTATAATTGAATATATTATGAATTGAAAGGTTACACTATAATATTAACTCCTTTCCCACACGCAATGCTCAAATACTTATGTCACAAGAAGTCCCTTAGTAATGTTCCAGCGCTGCTCCCTGGCGGAGGGAAGGACTAAGGAGGGATGGTCTCTATAAGCCTTTAACCTAATGCACTAGTAAAATACTTCGTTGGTTACCGACGTTTTAAGATTAAATAAGCAATAGCTGCTCCAGTCAGAAATGCAGTAAACAGAGGAAATCGTGGCTCCTTCCACCATTCATTGTTGTACTGCTTATCGACAAGATGCCGACTTGTTATTGAGCCCACCCACTCTTCCAATGTGTATTCTGGTATCCCTATGTTTTCATCTTTTAAATCGCGAAGAATCATTCTTGCAAACGAGAAACAATTATGGCCAGTAGGGTTGTTACTTAAAGTCGCCGAACTTACTGCCAATTTACTGTGGCCCAATATATTATATTTAGGAGGGTTTTTTTGCCAATAATTAATACGCTGTATCAGATTATGAGCAGTGCCTTTGGTTATGTGCCATGTTTGATGCAGCCAACGATCGCCTTTGCGAATTTCCATCAATTTTGCACCACACTGAAACAACAGCACTGAAACACTGATGCATCCGCTATGGAGAATGATCTTGCGAATTTCCAAACCTCCTCTGCCAATGCTAATCTTCTCCTCAACACAGATAAATGTAAGACACTTCGAATTACCAGAAAACGCAACAAAATCGACCATACTTACAAGTTGCAAGATTCCACTCTGAAAACCACAGATTGCGAACGTGACCTTGGCGTCTGGACCTCCTCCACCCTCACATGGTCGAAACAAGTCCTCCACCAGTGCGCCCAAGCCAACAAATCCCTCGGGTATATTCGACGGTCCA